TTAAGAAATTTCCATTATAATGGGAACTTGTCAGTAAATAAGTAATGGCCAATAATTCATTTACCCAGAGTTAATTATTAATAAATACAAATATTAGAGTCTTATTTGAGAGACATGTTAAAACACTCAGCATCATTTATCTTTAAACATTTGCCAGGTTTTGATTAAACACTTGAAATACAAAATTCTCTCCCAGCATCCCCAGCAAGTACTGGCAGGTGGGAAGGAAGATGACTTCGAATGGAGTTGCTGTCAAGGCCAGACTGAAGTAGTTGCATTTCTAAAGTTAAAACCCAGAGAAACATTATAAAGTTAAAGAATGTTAGGTTCTCTGTAGAGCCGAAATCCTCTCATTTCAATGCAATGTGTCAAAAATATTTAAAAGCATCACAGAGGAAAGAAAGGACCTGGGTTAAAAGAAGCCTAAATTTCTTGAGAGGGGCCTGGTTTTTCACATCTGTAACCCATCACCTAGAACAATATCTGATGGAGAAGGTGCTCAATACTTAGTGAAAGACAAAAAGTCAGAAGTGTCTGTTCAAAGGAAAGCCCAGTCTTTAAAAAAACCCATGTTATTCAAAGAAAAAAAGGAAATATTTCAAGGGTCTATAGTCAAGAACTTAGAACAGGGCAAAGAATTTAATCCCTTTATGATCTTATAGCTCTGATGGAAAGCCACAGGTCATTATTTTGCACCCCACTGCCTGTTACCAACACTATCAACACAACTTCTTAAGTAATCTGAGTGCACAGGAAAGCAGTAATCACACACATCCCATTTTAAGAAGTGTACCACTCCACAATTCCACGCTATTATGTAATGTGGTAGTTTTTAATCATTAGGTTTAAACGGACTGGTTTCCTTGATAATCTTAAAATAAGTGTATTTGTATTTATATTTAGCTAGATGTGATGCAACTGAGGAGAATTAAAGTTATTAGTTGGGAACCATTATGGAAAATTTCTGGATCACTGGAGTTTACAAAAGCAGGATCCAAGCTGTTTGAGACTACGGGCCTAAGACACTTAGATTCAAACCTGTACAAGGCTAAAAATTATCCAGAAAAGTATGCAGGACATGTCACCAGAATGAAGGAAAGCTTCTTTTACACACCAGGGATCAAGTTCAGCCCGACAAGTCAGTCACCCTTATACCAACAGTAGCTCCGAACTACTGGCATATGGGCTCAAGTGCTGGGAAAGAATGCATCCCAAACCTTCCTGTGATGACACATCAGACCACCGGCAACCAGGAGATGTTTCCACCGGTCTTGTCACTCCCCTGAATTCGGTTACTTCATTCAGGTATGCTAGGGCATCCACTTTTCTTTTGGGGGTCAAGGAGCAGCAAATAAGTGACACAACCTTTTAACACCTGAAGGTGTTGAACAGATCTTTCTTACTTTTCCAGCCCAACCTCAAGAGCTATTAGCAGTCTTTAAATGCCTCAAGTCTGAGAGAAAAAATAACCAAATGATTTTAATGGACAAATTAAACAACTGTAATACATGGACAGCCTGGAAAAGTTCATTCTAACAGCATGGTGATCACAGAGGATCATAGAGAGTGAATTTCTATTTGTTTATTTGTTCACATATGGAGTAAAGTGGTATATGGCTGACCGAACACACATAGGCTCCTTAGAAAGCTATGAGAATGCTCCTGACCTACAGCTACAAATTCCAAAATTTATTTCTTACATCACTTATTTCTGGTGATGATCCTCTACCTACCACAACATTACACAGCCACGTAATGAGACCAAGTTTTGTCCATCACACACTATAATGGGAATAATCTGCTATTAATGAGAGCTGTTCTGCATGCATTAAACACCTTGTCTCATTTAGGATTCACAACTCTAGTAGGTGGGTGCAGATTTACAGATATTAAATAACCTGCCCAAGGTCACACAACCAGGCTTCAGATCAATCTGTCTCTAATTTCTTAATTACCCACTATGCACAGTAACACTTCAAATACATGTATAAGAGAATATAGCCCAAAACATTTAAATTAAAATGAAAACATGTTCACTGCATTAACGTTTAAAAAAAAAAAAAAGAAAGAAAGAAAGAAAAACCCTACACACTCCAACAAGTTTTGGTACTCTTGCCAAAATAAAAAAAAAAAATTAAAAAAAAGCAAATAGAATCCAACTAGTCTATACTTCCATTTATATTTAGAATATGAGCTGGGCATGAGTATGTAATGAATATATATGTGTGTCTCTCTGTGTGTATAACACCCACATTATTCAAAAGCTCCCAAAAATGTGAAAAGTTTGTTCCAATCCTTCTTTATTTTGTCTACTTTAAGAATCCTTTGCAATATGCTTATGTAAATACTGATTTTAGCTGCTGTTCTCATTTCTCAAATCTTCAGCTTATAAATGAATTGGAAAAGTAACAGACCTAAGCAGACATCTTTGGAACACAAAACCAAAGAGATATAAACAAATACAACTAAATCAAAAACAAAGGACTCTTCTTTAAATTCTCTAACATCACAACTGATAAATGGGAAGAACTGAAAGAAAAATATACTGGCTGTGGATACGGTTGTACACAGTCACACGTGAGCTTGTGTGTGTCTGTGTGCGTGTGTGTGTGTGTGTGTGTGTACGTACCTGGGTGGGTGTCTATTTTATTAGCACACACAATGATCAGCATTTCACCCTAGTTCACTAAAAGGTCTTTAAGAGCATAAACTCTAAATGAAAGGAAACTGTGAAGTTAAAGTAACGTTGGGGCACAGGAGAGTATGTAAGAAAACAGTTCCAGGTCGCTAAACCCAATAAGTGAGTGCCTTCAGGTTTCTTACACCAGAGTTCCCACTATGGTTCAGTTGCATTAATAACGCAGTGACTCTGAAGGTAAGTGTCTCCATCCACACTTCGGAGAGATGCTGAAAAGAAGTAGGGACAGAGCCCAAATATCACTATTCCACTTACCTGATGCTGAGCCTTCATTACAAACATAAGTAAAGGCTAATATTGACATCACAGATCATAAAGCACAACAAAGAATATGTTGACACAAAACTCTTAAAAGTTTTGAGTTTACTATTTCCACTTAGAAGAGCATGAAACTCCCCAATGCTGATGTTAGTACCTGAAATCAAGTGTTACATGTAATATCGTTGGCATGAAAATTGAAACAAGACACTTTTTGATGAGAACGTGGCAATAATATCAATGGATTTTGCACTTCGATAACAGAATAAACCCATTATTGGAAACACATTCTAAGTAGAGCATTTCAGTCATAGTTTCAGAGCTGACCATGCATCTGGTATGTATGTTTTCCGTGTAAGCTAATAATACCACAGATTGTTTTTATGTAAGCAAATTAATACTAAGAGCAATTTTACCAAAGGACAAACTTTTATACTCCTCCAACACTGTGTGAATATAAAAATCATTTTAGATTTGTACCTGCACTCTTTCCTCAAATAATGTATTATTAAAAATTAAAAAGAAACACTCCTGGAATTAGAAAAAAAGTGACAAAAAGGATAATAAAATTTTTGAGGTTTCTACCACTGACTTTCTTCTTTAAGGGTTATTATATTGACAATAAAAAAAAAAATACTAGAATGTTCAGTCTCAAAGTGATCAAGGGCTAAGTTGGTGGTTTTGGCCTTGTTCTTCTGAAGAAAGCCAAGGGGGATAATTTAGCTTTTGGACAGAGAACAGACACTGGCAGTCTCCAGATTTTACTTCCAGCATCTCAACCCACATCCAGCCTGGTGTGAAGACATGGCAGATGGACTACTTCTGTTATTTCGACTGCTTCAGCATCCTGCATGTTTCTGTAAGCATGAATATTCAGCCACAATAAGGAGCAAGGATAAGCATGCTGACTGTATTAAGCAGGTACAAAAAAATCTTTATCCTTACCCTTTTTTTCCTCATTATCATAGATTAAGAAAAAAAAATCAACATTTAGAATATGCTACTTCTGCCAAGCTTGGAAAAGACTTATCATTCAACGAAATGATGCTGGTTTTCATATATTTAATGTAAATGTATGAAGAGAAATGTGTGGGCAGAAGAAAACCAGCGTAATTAGCATTTTAGAGGAAAGAAATTTAAAGGCAACTAAACTGAATCAGTAATTATTTTCCACTTTATTTTCATGATTTCATTATTTTCTCAGAAAAAGCTGAGCAGGCATTGAGTATCAGGGTTCATCATTCAGAACACAAATCAGATTCCTTTAAATACCACAAAAAACCTCCACATTGGCATGTTTTCCTGTTGTGTAAATAATGCCTATTTGTAACTCTTTTGTATTTAGATCTTGAAAAAGATTACTGAATCCAGAAAGGGTAATTTTGTTATCAATAAAAGAAATAAAGTGACAATTTCTCTATGAGAAAAAGATCTATGAGATAATCCCTGAGGTAGGACACCATCCTTACCCTCTCGAAGGGCAGAGAAATGTCTAGAAATAAAATAATATACTTGTATTTGCTAAAATGAGGAGTTCGTGATTGCTCAAAGGAAATCTAAAGGCCATGAACTCACACTGTAAGGGAAAACATCCATTAAAACACCACCTCTGATCAAAAAAATTATTTTAAAAAAAGGCAATTCATTGTATCATGCAGGGAAGTTCTTTAAGAGATCTTTAAAGTGAATAAAAACCTCAATGCATAATCTGAATTCCATCCTCCACATGACACTTGTCACTAAAAAAAAAAAAAAAAAAAATTACGTAGGAAAGGTGGCGTGAACCAATCAGGTCTCCTTTACACTGCTGGAGAAGGAGGAAGTGCACTGCGAACCACATCTCACACTGACTTAGGATCCCTAGGGCCCCACAGCTTATGTAGTTTAAAAATAAAATACTCCTAATGAAAGGATGGCTATCAGTCTGCTCTTTAGGACTGAGAGGGGATTTCTTGGATTTTTTTTCACATCCAAATGAGTGAACATTATAGAGGTAAATCAAGGCCAACGCAAGGCACACATGTGGAAGTTGAGATACACTTACGAAGTAGCCTGTTCCCAAGCTGGAAGGAGCTGAACTCTGCAATAAAGCATAAAGACAAAGTGGAAAATCAGCAATGGTTTTTAACACGTTCCAATCCACACAGCTCATTACCAGCCCTTTGCGGGTTTTTCATCGCTACATCACATCACTAGTGTATGCTGCCCCTTGTCATCTGCTACTGAAACGAACACCGTGTTGGCTTAATTTTCCCCTTTACATCTCTCAACAACTCAGAGATGCTAACGTGCTATTTACTGAATTCCAAGCTTCTGCGGTGGACGTAATTGCCAATTTATTTGACAGGCAGCTGGGTAATGAATTAATGATGGCATTTCGCCCTGCACTGAGACTAAACAGACACGCATCAGCCTGCCTCCCTGACTTGCTGACATTCAAGGCCCTGGTCTCAAGCTACTCAGTTTTGTGGCCGCAAAGGGGCAGGCAGGAGGAAAAAGCCCAGACTGACTTGAAAATAAAAGCCCAGTGGGTTTGGATGACTTTTCCAGTGTATGACCTACTTGCCAGTTTATTCCCTAAAGGCACCAGTTAGTACACACAGAGCACTTTTCAAAAATGAGACATTTTGTAAACATAATTAGTAGAATGAAATGCAAAGAATGTGTGGGTAAAGGGAAGCAGTGAAAAGCACCATTTTTCCAAAGGTTTTAGTCACAAGAATTATCAATTTAGGCTTCAATAGTTCTGACACTCAGAAAACTAAAATAATAATAATTCTGAAAGGTTTGCAGGGCATCACTTCTTTAGGCAAAGAGGCCAAAAAGAGAACTTAGTTTTGTTTTAAACTTCTCTGTGATCCATGCATGTTTGTACTTTTTTTTTTTCTGAAAACCTCTCATTACAAATGTTTTAATTTTCAGTCTCCTTTTCGTGAAAGAGAAAGACCCCAAGTAAGATTGAAACAAAAAGAATGCTAGTGCAGGAGCGGTCTTCTGGTCTCAGCTTGGTGTCCTTGCACCAGCAAGGCCTTTTCTCTGACTAGCATGGACCAGGTGTTACACCTTCCCTGGGGTGGGCTGACTTCCACCCCCAAGCAGTGGTTACTCAGTTCGCCTCTAGCTCTTCCACCCACATGTCCTGTCCCTGCTTTGCAACTACAGGTAGCAGGGACCATCCAGTTAAGTCATCGCCGCTTCCCCAGTGCTCAGCACAATGCTTTGCACACAAAATGCCTGTAACAAGTATTTGTTGAATTAATGTATAAATACATGAGAGTTCGGATTGCATGGGGAAAAAAAAAGATTAGGTGAATTTAGCATCTCTAAAAATACAGTAGATGTGAATCTTCTCGATTTTAAACTGTTTTCTGAGAAGGAAAAACAGTGCTCTATGCATCAACAGCATCCACATCAAACAAGAATTGTATGCTCCAGGGCATTCCTAAATGCACTTCCCAAAGCAAAACTTTCTTCACCTAGGTTTTTCAGACAGGCTCAGGAGAATAAAGGACAATCAATGTGTGATCTTGCACAATGGACTTGGTTTAAAAAACTCTTGCTGCATTCTTGATCCCATAAATGGTATGTAGGGAGATCCACAGTAGCCATGGAGACAGCTTCTCATCGCAGTGATTAGCCATGTGACAGCATCACCTATTTTCGGTACCCACAGCCCTCCATGGAACAGAGGAAGGCAAAAGCCAACTTCGGTCTCCACCACCCTGGAGTCATGCCCCTGGGAGGTAAACTCATTTTAGGATGAACTACTCAGAAAGAACATGGCACTTATTTATTTCAGGTTTTTTTTTTCCTCCTTCCTGCAAATGTACTTTATCCAGAAGCAGAAGTATCCCTCCAAACGCACCTCCCCACCCCCACATACATATCATCTTACTGTATACCAAAGGAAATTACATCCTTCAGGTATTGGAAAGCTCTGTTATACTCATTTTGCATATATATTGTACATTACTCAGGGAGCTGGGTGGAGAAGAGGACTTTGTTGTGCATATTTGTTCTGGCTATTGTTTATGCAGGTCTGACTGAATGAGGGAACAGTGGGTATCATTTCAATTTCTGATGTCAACATCAAATTACTTATTTAATTTCATGCCTGGCGAAGCATTGTATAGCTACACGCAGAATCATTTCACTTCATTTGTTATGCTGTGTTTTCGTGGCGATTGGCTTGCCTTCCAACTGACAGCTTTAATTACGACATGAATTTGATTGCACTGCCGAGGAATTAACATAATGCAACAAAGCATTTAAGCACCCTGCCTTATAACACCCCCCATGCACACACACAAACACAGACACATGAAAGTACACAGATACTATATCCTCACGTACATTAGAAGTCCATTACAGTTTTCAGAATTTGCTAGAAAGCATAGAGAACCTTATGGTCAGAGCCTACCCACATTTGTCAACCCACTGTACTCACTTCTTTTTCTAAAGAGGAAAAAGTTGGGGGCATTAACCTGTGATTTCTGGACCTGGCAAAAAAAACTGTTAAAATTCCTCCTAATCGACTCTGCCAAACATCCCTTCTTACTCCTTCTCCACCATGTTTTTCTTGGCTAATTGCCAGCTCCCTTCAATCATCACTGGAAAATCTGAACAGAAATAACATCTCTAAAAGAGGTACCTCCTCGTCCACTTCTTCAAACTCAACAATGTGGCTCTGGCCTTGTATTCACTGGGACACCATCCCTGAGCACCAACAAGACCTCCACCATCAGATAGAGGTAACAGAAGTTCTGAGACTAGTCACAAGGCAGGAGTCAGTGTTTTACTGATAGCTCCTGACACACACATCACATCCCTTAGGCCTTGCTAAGGAGTCTCGATCATGAATGCCTAATCTAAGTATGTATCTAAATACAGATGCATATATTTGATAGCATTAATCCTTCTTCCAAGTCAGAAATTCCATGAATACCATAGGCAAAAATAGATTATGCTGTAAAAATTAATGTCTAGAAGCAGCTTTTCTGTTGTTTGAAATGTGTTACATTAGCTATTAAGTTACAGACGTGCATTTAGGGATTGGCACTGATTTCTCACATAGGAAAGAGACAGACACCAAGAGGTAAAAGGCCTAGGAAAGCAAAGAGGTGGTGATGCCCTGACCACTGAACCATTTGATAGAATCAAGTTCATTTCAACTTTCTGTGTTGCCCCTGGTCAATATCTAATGAGGAGGGGTCCTCCTGCTTTCTTTCTTTCTTTTTTTTGCTGTAGAAAGAAGGCAGACTGTCCAAACTATATGGCAGAAATTGCCACAGAATCTAGAAAAGATGAGGAGTTAAAATGAGGCTTGAAAAAGTAGACATGTTTTAAAAAAAGAATGCAACAAAAAGAAATGTCCTTGAATTCAAAAGCATTTGAAATAATACCATACACCCATGTTTAGGCAAATACTTCTGTTGAATAATGAAAAAGGCTTCATTCTTATTTTTTCAAATGGCAGAGATGCAAATTCATTCATATTTTCAATGCACAAGGTAGAAACGAGCAGTAGAAAGAGATTGAGAAAACAGAGCAAGAGAAAGTGTTTAGCAGTGAGAAGACGAGGATATGAGGAAAAGCCAGCCTGCTGGCTATCTGATATGCGATTTCAGGGCTCATTATAAGCCATCTCCTATTTCACATGGTCTTTTCATTCTGCTGAGTTCTCTCTCTCCTTTTTTTTTTTTTTTTTTTAGGTTTGACCACTGTTCCAACAATCTCTGCAAATTACCCACCTCGATCTCATTATGTTGCAAAGGAGAGCTTTCTTACACACTCTGCCTCAATCGCCAAGCTACATGGGCTGCAGGAATAGTAATGGGATGCACAGTTGAAAGACATTTTCCAGGAGGTAGAACGTTGCTGCTGACATTCAAGTGTGCAAGTGGATATTCATTAAACACTCATTGACTCTTCCTCACTGCTCCCTACCTGACTTTCTTTCCATCACTGTCACTAAGCTATCATTGAAGCTACTCATTAAACTCGTGAAGTTAACATTTCTGTTTTAACAGCTTACCTACAACAAGGGATTTCAAAATTGATTATCCATCTAAAATAGATGTGCTCCACTCATTAGACATCTACATAGAGAGGCCATGGCTATTATTACAGCTCTTTGAGCATGGGATGGATGTGTACTCCACCCCCAAGAGGAGGATATATGCTCTGACCGCAAGGCTAATTTAATAGAATATTTAAAAATTCTTCCACAACACCAATTGTGTTTGACATCCTTGCCTACCCACCTTCCTGTTAGGCTTTTCTCTCTTGGGAGTAAAAGCAGAGGATCATGCCAAGAATCACATGGCCAAGTACATTTCTAGTAAAGGTCACAAAGCAAGCTCATTCATGGATTTTCTGTACCATTTTAAAAAACAATGACAATTAAAAAAAGTTGAAATCTTAATCCTAGGAAATGGGCCTTGGAGATAGGATTACTAATAGCTAGTGAAGACACAAAATATATCTGAATGGGAATTACTACTAGGGGGATTCAAGTAAAAACAGGCCAACAATTAAAAACAGAAATACCGTATGATCTATTCCACTACTGTATTTACCCAAAGAGAATGAAAGCACTAATTTGAAAAGATATCTACACCCCTGTTTTTATTGCAGCATTATTTATAATAGCCAAGATATGGGAGCAACCCAAGTCCATCCACAAGATGAATGGATAAAGAAAATGTGCTGTATTTAATGGAATATTATTCTGCCATAAAAAAGAATGAGATCTCGCTATTTGTGACAACATGGATAAGCCTAGAAGGTATTATGCTAAATGAAATAAGTCCCAGAAAGACAAATACCATATGATTTGTTATGTGGAATCTAAAAAAAGAAACAAAACAAATGAGCAAACAAATAAGAAAACAGACTCTTAAATACAGAGAACAAACTGGTGGTTGTCAGAGGAAAGGCGGGTGGGGGTAGAACACATAAAGGGGATGAAGACGTACAAACTTCTAGTTATTAAATAAGTAAGTCATGGAGGTGAAAAGTACGGCACAGGGAACAGAGTCAGTAATACTGTAATAATGCTGTATGGTGACAAATGGTGAC